GTGTGTGTGTGTGTGTGTGTGTGTGTGTGTGTGTGTGTGTGTGTGTGAGAAAGGGGGTTGACAGTTGACATCAGGTGTCTTCCTCAGTCACTCTCCATTTTTAAAAAATGGGGTTCTCTCACTGAGGCTGGAGCTAACTGGCTCTGCTAAGCCACTGTTTACAGACACTGCTGGGCCCAGTTTTTACATGAGTCCTGGGAATTCAGAGCCTCATTCTTTCACCACGGGCACTTTAACAGCTGAGACATCTGTCCAGCCTCAGACATGCGTATATCACATACAATTACCTATCCATCAGTCCTGTTACACATTAAACATGTCTTTCTTCAGCCTGTCCATCTAAAACCATCTCTCCCCTAATAAAAAGTTCCCTATGCTTTTATTTATAATAAATTCCGAGTATGGAAACAGCTCTGGGAGCAGAGGGCAGAGAGGAGGGCCTGGAGGGGGACAGCCGCCCTGAACTCACTCAAGCCCCTCCCCCTCTAACCCAGGACGTCATCGAAGGGGGCAGCCTGCGCATCCCCCTCCAGGAGCTGCACCAGATGATCCTGACACCCATCAAGGCCTACAGCTCTCCCAGTACCACTCCTGAGGTGCGCCGCCCTGAGCCCTCGATGATGGGCCCGGAGAGCTCAAGCCCCGACTGCAAAGACAGCGCCACGGGGGCCACCAGTGCCACAGCCAGTGCCTCAGCCGGAGGCGCCAGCGGTGGGCTGCAACCACCCCAGCTAAGCAGCTGCGAAGGGGAGCTGGCTGTTGCCCCTCTGCCGGAGGGGGACCTCCCCGGGCAGTTCACTCGAGTCATGGGGAAAGGTACTGTCTCTCTGGGAGCCCTAGCTAGAGCTAAGGGTCCTGAGGGCTAGGGAGGATTGGGGGGAGTGTCGTTAGCACCCCTATAGAAACACAGGTTTCTCCGTGGGAGGTCGCAACTCCAGCCCCTTGACCCCTCTAGGCATGTTGGACTCTTCCAGTACTGCACTTATTGGGCCTTAAACCTTCAGGGACAGAGAAGATGGGACAGACACTGAAAAAAAAATGCTTCAGAAGATGAAACCCTCGCTCAACCACTGGCCCCTCCCCAAAGCAACAGGGGCTAGGAACTGGTGACACCCCAGGGCTTGGGACCAGAGCCCAGAGCATATGCCCTGCTGAGTCCCAAGGTCCAGGCCCTGGGGCTTCCTCTGTTAGTCCTCCGGTTGGGGGAGGGGGCTACCTAGTCACCTAGGAATTCAGTCAGAGATTGGGGTGCCTTGGACAACCTTCAGTAGAAAGCCTCTGTCCTGTGGCACTGCCAAATTTTCACCTACAAAAGTAGACCCCTGTGCCTTGTAGATGGAGTGAGGGACATCTCCTCTGACAGAAGCCTTCTAGAGAGATCTAAATCCACTGAACTCTAATGTAAAGGGCAGGGGTGGGGAGGAGCTGGTGGCCAGAACAGGCTCTTTCGACCCTTCCCCCACCCCTCAGCTGCATTGCATCCTGGGAAAGGCACAGCCCAGGAAGGATACCTGGCTGTGCTCTATACCCTTATCCCTGTTTTACAGGGGGTCGTGGGGGTGGGGGGATGGAGGATGGGAATTGGGGGGTGGGGAGGTGGGGGTAGGGGAGTGTATAAACTGTAACTACTGTGTGAGCCGCCACAACCCAAGAGACACTCAGCATACACCATATAAACTGGAAAGTGAAAACCAAAAAGGACCTCCTCTCTGCTCCTCCCGAACCCTGCCTCCTCCTCTCAAGGGGCAGCTACTCTTGAATGTGAGGTCCTCCTTTCAGGACCTTTAGCTTCATGCACATCGTGACTATCCGTTCTTACACGGGCTTTAAGATTCTTCCTTATTGTTTTCCATAAACATTACATATTTGTATATTTCTGTCACTACAAAAAGCACCATTCTTTAAGGCTGCATTTAGAATGGGTAGACCTTCGAGCCTGTTTCCATGTTTTTGCTTGCAAAAACTGTTATTCTGAAAGCCTGTGAGTAGCAGCACGGAATCGGTGGGCATCTCTGTCAGAATGGTTAGGAGGGGGAAAGAGTCAAATGTGACCCTCAGCTTTCAAGCTTGGTGGTCTTTGAATGGCAGATACCCAACTCTCTGACTCCTTTATGGTCAGGGCAGAGAGGTCCATGAAAATGGCCACAAAAACCTACTCCATTGCCAACAGGGGATTAGTACTGGTAGGAAATACATGGTAGGCAGAGGCAGGCAGATCTCTGAGTTCAAGGCCAGCCTGGTCTACAGAGTAAACTCCAGAACAGCCAGGGCTACCCAGAGGAACCCTGTCTCAAACAAACAAATGAACAAACGAAAAAACAAAAACAAAAGAAAGGAAGAAAAAACCTAGTACCTACAAGTCCTCACCCACAGACAAGCACCGCCTCATCTCCCTGGCACATGCTCCAGTGTGTAGTGAAGGAGCATGTGGATATATGCGTGTGTTGTGTCCCATTGAGAAAATAAGCCTGCAAATGACTGAATGGCAGGTTTCGTCTGCTGCATACCCGCCCACGTGCGCCCCAGCCAAAATGTGGCTTTACACACAAACAACCACCGCCTTCCCACCTGCTGAGGAGTGTGTGCTTCATTCATAAAACAGGGCTGCTGCCCCACTGTGGCAGAGGCTTTTGAAGCTCTCAGCATCACCTGCAAAGGCAGCGCCCAAGAGCTCTGTTTCTTCTCTTCAGGCCTGTGTCTGAGGGTTTAATATCAGAAAGCTATGGCAGGGGCAAACCCAAGGAGCTTCTGAGGCTGAGGGCTCCTGTGGCAATGGAGCATCTGACTTCCGTGGAATGATGAGCCCCCTGTTTTTCATGAGCCTTATGTGATGTCCACAGGCAGATGTTCCTCCTCAGGCCTCGGTCCTGAAAGAGAGATATCCCAGAGGCCTTGTCCTTACTCATCTCTTCTTTCTTCACAGTATGCACGCAGCTCTTGGTCTCCAGACCTGATGAGGAAAATATAAGTTCCTATCTACAGCTCTTAGACAAGTGCCTCATCCATGAGGTGAGTGACAACCGATTTAAACCTGTTTGTCTCCTTGCTTAGAAATGCTTCTCAGAGTTCCCGTGATGGGATCTGTGTTAGTCTCCAGCGACTTGTTTTTGACAAGTGTGCAGCCATTAGTAACAGCTGTGACAGAACTAGGCTGTGACCGCCCCTAGGAGTCTGCATGGGTTGGCCCCTTAGCATCAAAATTCACCCAACAGTGAACACTGATGTCAAGAGGGTACCTGGGAAGAACTTCAGGCACCAGAAGAATCCAGGTGACCGGGTCTGGGGTGGCTAACTCCCAGAACTGCTACCCAGGCCTAAATAAAGTCCTCACATGGTGTGGTCAAATGCTGTGCCATTGAACGTAGGGAAACTGGGAGAGAGAGAGAGAGAAGGCACAAGAAAGAAATAAGGATCAGGGTGGATACAGATGGGTGCTGGGCTGTTCGGATTTTTGGTTGTTATAGAACAGCCATATTTGCCATCTGACCTTTGGAAGGAGACAGGCAGGTAGAATGCAGACTCTCAGGGTGCAGTCTTCATGAGAAAGCCTGGAAGGCTCCTGGACATGAAGAGGCTGATCACAGGGAATAGGAGACTGGCGCTCAGACCCAGGCAATCATTGGCTCTGGGGATGCCCTGACCCGAGGAGTTATAGATATAAGCTCTAGATTAGGGAAAACAGGGATCAGATAAATGAGGTAGTGAAGTCTTTTATGGGATTTTGATGTGAGGCTGAGATGGCTAGACTCTCTCACATTTACTTGTTGGTAGTCAGAATCCCAAGAGTCCAGTGGGCCCCAGGGACAGAAGGCAGCCAGCACAGCGGCCTGGTTTCACTCTGCCTTCTTACCCAAGCTCCCAAGTGGCACAAGTGCCTCTTGCCATTCCTGGAGTCCTCCTTCTTGGGGCCTGATGCTCTCCATCTGTCATAACCACTTCACACTCTCCTGGGGTCCCATCCCATCTGATCGCTCTCTGCTCCGCCCGACTCACCTCTTGATAGTGTCTCCTCTCCATGGCATGAGCTCATGTAGCCCATCCACCCAACCAGAGCCTTCTGCCACCATGAGCATAGTAACCAGTTGTCTAGATTGGGAGCTCAGGATGCCAGCCTCTGAAATTGTTATTCCAAAGTCCCAGTTTTTCTGCTGAATGAAAACAACTATTTCTCTAAGAATCCAGAGCAATCCAACCCTGCCTAACAATGGCTGAAGGCCTTCCTTCCTGGTGTTTATTTGGATAACTGATGCTATATACGTTTAGGGAGCAGCTAGGTTGGGTCCCTGGGTGAAGAGCTCATGACATGAGGGCACTGGATAAGATAAATGTTGAAATAGGTATGTACAAGCTACTTTTCTCTTCCTGCAATCAAATCCCTGAATAGAAGCAACTTAGAAGCGGAAATGTCTTTGTTTCACGGGAGGAAGGAATGTGAGGCCAGGGGCCTGAGAAGTCCCATCTCTGTCTCAGCACTACACTCAACAGTGGGATAGGGGGCACCTAAGCGAGCCGGAACCCAAGGCATGGAAAGCCGAGGCCAGGAGCCCAGCTGTGACACTGTAGCCCCGGGTGAAGCTTGGCTTCTGAAGCTGGGGAGATGGCTCATAAGAAGGGCTTGCTCCTCCTGCAGAGGCCAGGGCTCGCCTGCCAGAGCTCCCCTCAGGTGGCTCATGACCACCTGTGACTCCAGGGGACCTTATGCTCTCTTTTGGCCTCCATGGGCCACACAAATGTGTGTGCGCGTGCTAACATGGAGGGCACACACACATAGATAAAAATAAAAATCTCTAAGGAAAAAAAAGACACAACTGGTAAGGACGCAACTAAGTGTCCCAGCAGAATCCGACACTCCGCCCTGGAGGAAGACGTTTGTCGGTGGGTTAAGGTGGGTCTGGGGAAGAGCTCCTCTCTGTAAAAGTAAGTGGGGGACTTGGATCCATGAGACCAAATAATGAGTCCAGTGGCCTCTGTGGAGCTGTGGGCAAGCCTCCTATTTGGTCTAACCTGGCCCTGAAGCCTCATCCTGACCCCTCTACTCCATGGATCCTCCCTGCTAACCCTGACCTGTGGTCCTCTTTCCTTTATCCCTCTCTGGCAACCTAAGTACTCAGTGCAGAGGCCCCGTCTTCTGCTTCCCAGCAAAGACTATCCCAGGCTAAGCAGATCTCATAGCAGGTCTTTCTGCCCCAACTTGTGTCAGATTCGGGCATCTGCACTCTGCTCTGGAAGGGAAAGCGTGGCGGGGGGGGGGGGGGGGGGGGCTTTGATTATTGGCTCTGGATCATTTTCCACAGCCCAGGACTAGAGCATGTTGGCAGCCTGCACCTGTCTTGGGAGGCTGACGGGCAGTGCAGGAGTGGCAGGCTGTGGGACCCAAGCCTCAGGACAGGGTCCTTCTCAGAGTCAGGAGCCACCTGTTCTCCAAATAAAGACACCTACCTCCCTTTCTAAGGAGGAAGGCCCCGAACCCCTAAGGTAGGAAATGGAAGAACAGGAAAGTTTTGAGTTTCACCTGTGGTGCCAGTTCACTTTGGTTCCTGACACGCTAGACCAGGCTCCTCCCGGTCTTAAGTGGTTCTAGAACAATGGTCTCTGGTCCCTTTGGAGACTTTGCTGGAAGTGTGTCAACCACAGGACTCAGGGTGGCTGTCTCTCTCCAGGCACACAGGTTGGGCTGGGCCTGACGCGGGCAGAGGACTTGTGTGGGATGACTGCTGGGGTCTGGGAAATCGTCAGACCTTGAATCTTCCTCCCCTGCCCTAAGCCTCTGGCACTGGGCTGTCAGGGGAGGAGGTGGTGATGAGACAAGCAGCCATTAGTGGGTTCTCTACAAGGGAGTGCTAGACAGAACTGAACTGCTTGCTCAGAGCACGCACGCATGCACGCACGCATGCATGCACCTAAGGTTAACTAGCTGGATGCCTCCCAGCTGGTAAGAAGCACTCACTCAGCCCCCATCAAGGGGTGTGGTGATGTTCTGGGGATGATGGTGTGCACACCATTTCTACTCAGATGCCATGTGCCACCATAGGAGATGCCAACTACACAAGGATGTCCTTGGGAGGACATCTAGCCTCTTGCTCCTTCGTGACGTGGACACTCAGTGGATCCTCAAGCTCACTGCCTTGGGCTGCTACTGGGGCTAAAGGTCATCACTGAGGAACTCCCACAGACCTCTCCAAAGGGTGCGTCTCTGTAGCTAGCCAAAGCCACCTGGTAGGGCAGTGGGGAGCGGCATGTGTGGAACTCTTTAAGCGTAGCTTTAGTTTCTACTCCTAGTGCATTTCATCCTCACAGGGTCCTTTTGGATGAGTGCAGAAAGCACCTTCCAGAAAGCACCAAGTCTTCGGTAGGACCTGTCTGTGTGTGTGTGTGTGTGTGAGCGTGCGCGTGCACACGAGTTCATGGACTTGAGCCTTGCCCATCGGCCTTCCTCTGACCCACTGGGCTGAACCCACCACGTCATCTTGGCCATCATAGCTGTATCTTGCATCCTCAGCATTTATATGGATAAGCTATTCAAAACCAGAGAGTCCTTCCCTTGCCTTTGTCAGTGCGACATCTGTCAGCCTCAAGTCCAGTTATGAGCATCAATGGACATTCAGTGATCATCACCAACAAAAGAGAGGGACCATGGCGGAGAGCCCATGCTCACCTTCCAGTCACTAGAGCCTCTGCCGCACAGCCACAGGGGCCTTACTGTGTCCTTTACTCAGGCAACCCTCTTGAACGTCTTCAGTGGCTGAGGCCACCCAGGAAGAAGAGGAGCCTGCATGCTGAGCTAGCGTTTCCACAGCTAAGTGTTATCCTATTGCTTTTATCCACAAAGTTCTTCAGGGTTTACATCCCTAAAAGATTAAGCTATCCTCAGGAGAAAATTAAGCTACCATTTTTTTTCTTCAATCATCAAGAAACCTGTTTCCTTTATAGAAAGCAAGCATTTAGTCTGTTATTCTAAGCAATATTTTATCACTCCTTAAAGGATTCCATGCGTTATTGTCAAAACCACTAGGGACTGTTCTCTGTCACTGCTCCCACAACCAATCCAACTAGATGGTTTTCCCATACTATGTGTTCCCAACCTCAGCTCAGGAACTCGGTGGGGGACTCATCTGACACGGGCCTCCCACCTGCGGAGACACCATGAATCCACAGTGCTCTACCTGCACAATTTAGGGAAGTTTCTATAAACTGCCTCCTGCAAACCTTAGTCATGCTTCGGGGTGCTGGAGGGGCGCCCCATCACCTATAGTCAATGGTTTCCTTGGGTGTTTTTAATGTATTTGAATTTGAACGTCCCCGCATTAAGGACTTGGACCCTAGGCTATGGTGAAAAGGCTATACATCACAGGGAACAAAGTATAGATTTGTACTGCATGCTCTAAATGTGTGCTCTGTGTATAGATTGTTTAGCTGTGTGCTTTGTGGTAAAGAGGCGGTAAATGTGTCATTAACACTAGGCAAAATGTCTCTCTCATTTCCCTAGAAGACTTGAGAAGACATCAGGCCTACCTTATTTTCTCAGCTATTGGCAAGGTTACGGTCAGGACTGGGCACTGGGGGATTTTTACAGGGCACAGGGTGTTTAACTAAAGCTCTCTCTCTGGGGAAAAAAAAAAAAAGCCCTAAGACACAGAATGTTGCCATTCTCTGAACCCCAGCAGCCCACTCCAGAGTGACCATACACCGTCAAGCAGATTGATTTTTTGGAATGGCTTAGAATTCACATTGATTATGAAAATGCAGGGGGTCTGGAAAGCTAGAATATCTAACAATCAATTTAGCAGTTCATCCTTGGTTAACAAATAGGGCCTGGAAAGGAGTCAGAGGAGGGGAAGACGGGTGTGGGTCTTCTGGAAATACAGCCAAAATCGAGGTTGTCGAAAGCTTAATGCCTGAACCAGGTGCTCCCAACGCCAAAAAACTTGAATCTCCAGCACAGATGTCTCCAATTTAACCTGACTGCTGTTTGCACCAGGTTGGAAACAGGTGTGTGTGTGGGGGTGGCTACTGTGAAGACACTGGCGTTTTCCTCTATTAATTGTATGTTTTTCCCTCTAACGCCAGGCTGCGTCACCATTTAAAAGTCCTGTTTGTTTTTGCAGGCATTTACAGAGACACAGAAAAAAAGATTGTTGTCATGGAAACAGCAGGTGCAGAAGCTCTTTCGGTCTTTCCCTCGGAAAACCCTTCTAGACATATCAGGATATCGACAGCAAAGGAAGTATGTTGGGATTTTGTTCTTTGTAATACACGGCGGCTCCCTGATGCCTCGCTGCCTGCCTCAGATCCAGGCGGGAATATGGCAGGGCATCACTCTCATTCCCGGGGACGCCCCATGGAGAGTTCCAAATCATATTGCCTAAACAGGCTGTGGCAGGAGAAAGGCAGTTAGGAAGCTCGTTTCCTTGAGGAAGAGCTGAATTGAACGTCTGTAGCTGGATTTACATGGTCAGAATGGCGATATTTGTCTAGATGGGCGTGAGAAGCACGAGCTCATGATTTAATGGACGCCAGCAAAACATGGGTGGTTGAGCCTGAAAGTGGGGCTCTGAAAGGACCTGAGTGGGATCTTCTCTCAGTACCTTAAGTGGCAGTGTAATGCTTTTCTCCCTCCTAGCCGCAGACAAGCTAATTATAGCTGATGGCAGGGTAAAGAGCCCGGTGCTCGTCTATTTTGGTCTGTGCTGCAGTCTAATAGCGGGGCAGTACCATTCTTGATTCTTCATAGTGGCTCAGCTTCTTGGATGAAGTTAAAAATAAGCCTGATCACACTTCAGAACATGCTACCTTAACATGACTGTAAATGGAGAAACCAGCTACATGGCAAATAGGAAGTGAAGGGAGAGTTGAGGACCACAGAAATGGAGGAGGAAGGAGGGTTGGCTTAAGCAGGAACAGTGATAGAGAGGATTTGGAAATAAGAATGTGATCACATCAGTATCCTGGAGAGAATCGCCATCTTGTGCCACGTCCTCAAACATGCAGATAAATACTCAGATAAGATACACAGATAAGATAAGCAGATAAATACTCATCTCTTCCCTTAGACCTAACAGGTTCTGAGTTCATTTCTCAGCGCATGGGCAGAGGCTGTGTTAAACTTGGGGGGCGCTCATTCGCCCGAGTATGCCTGGCCACTTAAAGAAGACCAGCTGGGGCCTGAGACATCTTCATGACAGAGTCACTTAAAAATGAAGATGCCACATTCTACCACACAGCACTGTTATTTAGTGTGCACACATTGTTTTTGTGCACATTATTTAGTGTGCACACACTCAGATACACAGTGGGTATCTGAGCACTAAAAAAAAAAAAAAAGTTAATGCATTTCACCCTTGCAACAACCTGTGAAGTAGAATTGCTCTTATTAGCCTTAGCTTACAGATAAATTGATAGGCAGAGGCACCAGGAGGTGGAGCAAGCTGGCCAGGGTTGGACACCTTGGTGAGATCACTTGCCACCACTGCAGAGCCAGGCCAGGTGCTGGTCCCAGGCTGACACACAGAGAGGAGATGCCTGCAGACCGATACTCTTGCCGCTCACCAGCCCCCAGCCCTTGGGGGACACCAGCTCCAATAAGCTGCAGGTCACTCCGCCCTGAGGCTGCTCCTTCACTGCCTGAGCCACTGCCAAGCACTCCCCTCCTACGGCCAGCCACTTCTAAGATTCCCGTGTGAGGAGGTGCCAGATCCCACCGCCATTCCCGGGCCTGCAGTGCCAGTTCCCGGAGAAAGTCGTTCTGAGGCAGAAGTTTCGGGTGCGGCCCTCATGGCTTCTCTCACCAACTCGTGCCTCTGTCTGCCCTGTATCCATCCGTGATCCACGTGGGAGCGCTCTGCCAAGAAGCATGGAGAGAGCTCCACAGACTGTTCCGAGCACATGCTCAGGGCCAGCCTGAGGCCTGCCAGGTCGGAGCCCTCATGGACCTCTTTTATCGACTGGATAAGAATGGATCTGTCCATCAATTAGGATGTTCAGAAGGATGGAGCCAAACCCATGAAACACAGTCTGCTCTGCACATTACCTCTGGGGTATTTTTACACTATTAATTTGTTTTGAAAAACCATTTCTCCCATACGAAAGTAACCGCAGGCAAGCCCCTGCTTTAAATTATCTCATAAATCCCAAATTAATTGCTTCTTATTAATGTTATTTTTATCAAAGACCTTTCATGCATTTTGAGGAAAGGAAATCAGTTAGACTCAGAGAAGCAGAGAAAGTGAGGCGTGCAGGCCCAGAACAGCGTGAGAATGGGGAGCTTAATTTGTTCTTTGCTCTTTCCCAGAAAGCATAATTTCCTTAAGCTGAGTGATCTTGGTGTTCACTCCAGCTGTCAGTAGCAGCAACTCTCAGCAAACTTGGCTTTATAAAGAAAACCTTTTGAGGACACCTCAGTTGGACCGTATCATCAGGAAAAAGATGGTATCTCAAAAATCTGCCCCCTCCCCCCGTGCCAAAACCATGCCCCCCCCTAATATTCAGGGCTTTACTGCCCTCTCCCAAACGGCTGAGTCCTAACTGTGTCAAGGTTCTCCTCTTCTCCAGTGACTGCCCCTAACAGAGCCCCTCTGCACATTATATAGCTAGAAAATACAGGCTTGATCCTGGCATGATTCTCTTAGGTGGTCCCAGCCTTGGGTGGCTCAGGCAAGAAGATCAAGAGTCTGGGGCCAGTTTGTGCTATATAGTAAAACCCTATCTCAAAAAAAAAAAAAAAAAAAAATTGAAAACGCTACAGTGCTGCTTTCCTGGAAGAACAAATCATTTAAGCAACACTCATCCTCTACTCTTTTGCATATGAAATAGCATCTTAAAAATCCAGCCAAAAAGGGAAGTGAGAAAAATCTATTCACACTAAATAAGGGGTGGGATGGGGAATCTCAGCAGATACAGATCATCCATCTTCCAGGTTAAAATCTGACTTCAGAAGCCGTAGAGCCACTTAACAGCCGAGAGAAGCAAACAACAAATCCCACTTGCTGGTACTGTTTCGAATCACTACCACACTGCCTCCCCTCCAAAGGGGCTCCCTGACTGTCTGCAATCACTCTTAGCTCTCCTCACCCTTAGACTTTGGGGTGAGGGGGCGGTGAGGGAAACAAAGATACCAAGAACCCCCTAGTAACCTCCTCTTTGAATGGAACCTAGACCATTTTTCTTGAAAGGCCACAAAAGCCTAGACTAAGACAGACTGCCTGGATTCCTTTTCCTGTCCCTTCTGTCCCTAAGAAATTTAGGAAGTCAGGGAGCTTTTCCGCTGCCATCCCAGACACCACCTCCCCACGCACATACACGCCCACCCCTGGCTCAGGAAGTGACTGTTAGGAAGGCCCCCTGGATCTCCACCGGCCAAGCTAAGCCAGCTCATTTGCGGGCCTCCTTCACGAGCTTGGGGAAAGCTCCCTTGCTTAGCAACCAGACCGCTGTGCTCCATCTAGTGGCCGATGCCTCCAACGCAGCCCTCTCCACCCTCCGGAATGACTAAGGCGGCCTGACTCCCGTGGAAAGAATGTGCGGGTCGGTTCCTGCAGCCTCCCAGAACCCGGGCTGCTGGAGGCCTCTCCGCTGAGCTCATCCTGCCCACGGGGAGCAGCCTCCCGCGTGGACCCGAAGACTGGAGCCTTTCCAGCCCTGGTGAGGTCCACCCTGCAGCGAGGGCTGGGGAAGGAAGAGGGTCCACCCCCAGCGAGGGCTGGGGAAGGACGGTCCTAGGTCGAGGGCACGTGCACCGCCACCTGGGCTGGAGTCGGCCACACGCCAGACCGGCCTTTCCTCTGGAGAACTAGCACGGGGGCCGACGCTCGCTCACGCCTGCTTTCAGCCAGCACTCACTGTGCGAAACGCTGACTGTTTGTGGCTCGGGGTTAGGACATCCCGGGCCGAGGAGTCTCCGATGCAGCGGGATGCGGCGGGCTCCTGCGTCTGAGACTGCTCACAGACCACCGGATCGGACGCGAAGCACGGCGTAGCGGGAGGAGCACCAGCAGAGTCGGATCCAGTCGTGACACCAGTTCTGCAACGTGCCCTCATGCACAGAGCCACAGGTTGGACAAGAGGACGAGAAGGCGGGAGACTGTTTTGGGCGCCCCTTTGGGGCTCATATTTGAGTGCTGCCCCCTGCTGGCTGTGCGGCGATGGCAAATTCCCAAGCTTTCTGGGTTTTTCTAGGCATAAAGGTTAGGGCGCCTACTTCACAGGGTTGTAGCGTGGGTTGAGAGCTGTTGCTTTCGGACAGTAGCTACAGTTTCAATCATGTCCCATTATTGGCACTTGCCCTCACCCCATACCTCTTTTTTAATTCTTTATTAATTACACTCTATTCACGTTGTATCCCCCCTGTGGTTCCCTCCCTCCTCCCGTCCCAACCCCTCCCTCCCTCCACCCTCTGCATGCATGCCCCTCCCCAAGTCCACTGATAGGGGAGGTCTTCTTTTCCTTCCTTCTGATCCTAGTCAACTAGGTCTCATCAGGAGTGGCTGCATTGTCTTCTTCTGTGGCCTGGTAACGCTGCTCCCCCTCAGGGGGAGGTAATTAAAGAGCAGGCCAATCAGTTCATGTCAGAGACAGTCCCTGTTCCTATTACAATGGAACCCACTTGGATACTGAACTGCCATGGGCTACATCTGTGCAGGGGTCTTAGGTTATCTCCATGCATGGTCCTAAAATCCAACATCCATTCATGTTTAAAGTCTTGGAGAGATCAGGAATACAAGGCACATACCTGAACATAGTAAAGGCAATATACAGCAAGCCTATAGCCAATATCAAACTCAATGGAGAGAAACTTAAATCATTCCCATTGAAATCAGGGACAAGGCAAGGCTGCCCACTCTCTCCATATCTCTTCAACATTGTTCTTGAAGTCCTTGCTAGAGCAGTAAGACAATTGAAGGAGATCAAGGGGATACAAATTGGAAAGGAAGAAGTCAAAGTATCACTATTTGCAGATGATATGAGAGTATACCTGAGTGACCCCAAAAACTCTACCAGGGAACTCCTACAGCTGATTAACACCTTCAGCAAAGTGGCCGGATACAAAATTAGCTCAAAAAAATCAGTAGCCCTTCTGTATACAAAAGCAAAAGGGCTGAGAAAGAAATTAGGGAAACAGCACCCTTCATAATAACCACAAATGACATAAAGTACCTTGGTGTAACCCTAACCAAGGAAGTCAAAGACTTGTATGAATAAAATTTCAAGTCTCTGAAGAAAGAATTAGAGGAAGATATGAGAAGATGGAAAGATCTCCCATGCTCATGGCTTGGCAGGATTAACATAGTGAAAATGGCCATCTTACCAAAAGCAATCAATTCCCATCAAATTGCCAACACAATCCCTTACAGACCCCCACCTCTTAACTGTCAGCGCAGGTTAGGGGGGGAAGGAACATGCCTGAGGCTCTGGATTCTCTTTGCTCTCACAGTCGTGGCTTTGGGCAGTCCAACTCCCTCCCGACAGCCAGCTCTGTGGGCGGCGGCATAGGCAGACGGAACCCACGGCAGTACCAGATGGCCTCTCGGAATGTCCCTTCGGCCCGCCTTGGTCTCTTGGGCACCAGCGGATTCGTCAGCTCCAACCAGCGCCATGCCGCTGCCAACCCTACCATCATGAAACAAGGAAGACAGGTTTGTTCTGCTCTGGGCAGCGAGGAAGCCCAGAGGGTGAGGCTTTAAGATGTCCCCAATCCAGACAGTCTCCAAAATGAAAAGGGATGCTCCCAGGGGATCCAGACCACGGGGATAGCCGAGCCTGTGCTTCCCAGGTAACCAGCACCGTTTGTGCTGTTTCCCTGGAGGCTGAAAAACCCGTGGCTGTTGCTTGGGAAGGCTGGTGCTCATCAATCTCAGGGACCCTTGTAGACAGACAGGCAAGGGCTGTTTCTGCTTGACCGTTGACCTACCCCAGTATACCCCATCACCTTCCTGGTCTGGCAGGGCGTTTAATAAGCTTTCTTTACCTTTTTGTCACAGTCTCAGCTGCAGTGGAGAGGCTGCCCCTGCTGCCCCTGCCAGTGACCTCTCTGTCGCTGAGCCCAGCCTCGCCTTTCCCCGCCTTTCCCCAGTGTTCCCTCAGCCCTGCAGGGCTATAGACATTGGCCTGGGGACAGGGTACATACAAGTAGGTCTGATGAGAGTCCGGCTTTAAGACAGAAAGGCTACACCAGGAAGAGGCTGGTGGCATGCCTTCCCAAAGGAAGCCCCGGGATCAGTTCTGGAGAGGTCAGCACAGGACACGTGAGCAGCATGATTCAGGTCTGCCGGCAGTGCCGAGGCTACTTTTCCCCCTCGGTGCGGAGTAAACTTGGGGACCCTGAAAAAGAAACCCAAGCAAGAGCCCTAAACTCATTGCACTGTTCGCTACCAGCATTTATTTCTAAGGCCTACCCCTTCCCTTTAAGAAAAAGCCACAAATGGAGTAAAAAATGGTGAGAGAAAAAAATGGTGGTCAGGGTAAGATCGAGCTTAAAGCAAGGCCTGGGCATGAGCATCAGATGAGGCTAAGCCCTTTCCAAAAGTCTCCCTAGGACAGCTGTCTCCCGAGTTCCAGTTGCTGTCCCTCTTCCCCTGGAGGTTCTACACTAATGGTCGTCTCTTGTTTGCCCTTCCCTAGAACCTCTGGTTTGCCAACCCTGGGGGCAGCAACAGCATGCCCAGCCGCACCCACAGCTCGGTGCAGAAGACCCGCTCGCTGCCCGTGCACACTTCCCCACAGAACATGCTGATGTTCCAGCAACCAGGTAGGGCCTGGCTGGCACCTGACCTTCCCCTCCTTCTCCCTGACGCAGGAGGGAGGCCAGAGGGCCAGAATAGATGCCCTGGTGACCCAGCCGGAAAGTGCTGAGCCTCAACTGTCACCACACATTCTTCAGAGCTACGGAAAGTCTTTCCTTTTTTAAACCAGGCCTTGCCAGCGTGAGCAGAGGCCTGCCTGGCAGGGAGCCAGAGCCTGGAGTCCCAGCACCGGTTGCGATCTGACAGGGATATTTTTGATACTTGTCAAATATCTGGATTCCGAGCTTGATTAAACTAGTGATAGATATCCCTGGAAGAGCGTTCCGTGTGGAGAGAGAGAACTGGGGAGGGAGGGTGTACACAAAGATCAATTAAGGCAATGAAAGAGAAAGTGTGAATGTTTGTGTCACTGTGGAGTTGTACCAGGAAACAGGGCCATTGTTTCTTGATTCAAGAGCAACTTGACAGAGCAGATTCAAGGCCAGAAGGGGAAACATAGTCTCAATCGCCATGCCTCCTAAAACAAGCTACCTGAATTCCATACAGCAAACAGATCCAGGATCCGTTTCTCTGTGCAGGCGGTGACCTCTGAACTCTGGAGTTGTACAAAGCCACCTAAGATGGCTACATCTGTCAAGATGCTACCTCACAGCCTGGAGCCCCACGTCCCAGAAGCAGTTATTTATAAGGCTTTGGTTTTCGTGTTCCTGTAAATCTTTAGTTAAATTTGAATATTATATCTCTAGAAACGTTGGACTTTTTTCTTATTTTTAAGATTTTTTTTTCCCTTGGGTGTTGCAAACCTCTCCCCCCTTAAGGCCTTAAATCTCTAATAATGGCCAAAGCACACCAACAATGCTACTTTAGATTTCCTGATTGCTGATAAGATGCCGAATCAAACAAGGGGCCTCCTGGTCCTGCCCACCGCCACTCAGCACTTTCAAGGCCATGACATGACCATGGAGGGTGAGGCAGGTCACAGCCAAGACCCAGAATCCCTCACTGAGGAGAAAGGAAGCTGTGGAAAGGCTCTGCTAAGGGACTTAGCTTTGGCCTTTGCGAGGCTTCCAAGAGCACTCCCTGCCAATCAAACAGTGGGTGGGAGAGCCTGTCTCACCTCTCAGCATCCTTCACAGAACAGCCCCTCACTTCCAGGCCAGACCAGAGTTAACCTGAGAGGCGGGACCTGGAAGTGGGCTTTCTAGTCAGAGAAACCCAACCTGGTCGGCCGTGGAGTCTTGCAGGATAGGTGCTGAGGCTGGATTTCCAGGCTCCTATCAGCAAGCACAGTGTGGATTTCACTTCAGCTGGGAGTAAATGTGAGCATAACATGAACTGGAAATGGTGAACCCCCAAGTACTTGTCTTGGGTACAAGCTATGTCTTTCTCCTCAGCTTCTTAACATGTTTAAACCCACTCAAAATCAAGTTTCTGAATCTACAACAAAGTCTAAACAAGTGTGAACTTTAAGAACTTCAAAACAATTGCCTTCCAATGGAAGAACATGGCCCAGAGAACGAGGAGAAGCCTCCAGGCACCTGTGACTGCCCACCTTACTTCTGCTAAGGGCTTCCGTCTTTCCCGAACTGCATAATGTCAGGACCCCCCCAGGGACTGCCTAGGGTGGCTTCCTGCTTTCTCTCCCCCTGGACAGGTAGCGGGTATGTCGTGGTTCCATCGGGAAGACCAGCAAATCACTGTTGATGCTGGCTGGGCCACGGAGGAACACAAGGCAGGAAGTCCTGGAGTGAGGAGAAAAGGTCTGAGACACCAACGGGCCTGGAGCCTAACACGCACGTGGCACCAGCCAAAAGCCACGCTGCTTGGAGGTGGGGTTCCTTCCCATCTCGAAGTCAAACTGGCCTGGAGAGTACTCCTTCCTTTTGGAAACAGTTTTCTTTCTGTAGAGCCAGCCCTTGGGCGTCAGTCAGAGAAGGCCTTAGGGTAGCTCTGGCCTGATGCTCAGAGGCCACCAGGAGGACCAACAAGAAGAGGCAGAGGAGCCCAGAGCAGGCTTCACGAGAAGACCACAGGCAGGGGCGGAGCCATAAGCCTGCCTCCTGAAAATGGCTTCGCTTGCACAGAACCACAGCAAAGCACCCTTGGGCTGGTGTGCAAGGGCATGCCCAGAGTACAAAATGAGTGAGAGCATACCTCTCAGCATCACCATTTCACAGTGCATCAAACCCCCGCTATGTGCTGGCTCGTGACAGGAGTCCCTCTCCTCAGGATGTGCATACCTTGAAGCACGACCTCTGGGCTGTCGTCCTTCGTTTCCCCTCAGTAGGCCTCTAGAAGGAGTGGAGACAGGAAGGATGTGTCCTGAGCCCAGGAGGGTAACGAAAGGGACTCCTGTGCAGAGACAAAGGCCAGAATGGGGAGCGTTTAAAGTGTGTGTTAAATACTTGTCCCCACCTTTCTAATAAACCTGAGGCAAACGGCTTGGCTGGGGTTTAGAGACAGGAGGCAGCGAAATGGTCGATGCCGTTGGGCAAACCCGACCTCCTACCTCTGAGAGCCCACTTGATACCGTGTCATCTTATCCTGTAACTTTTCATAGATGTGCGGGCCCCGAAGGATGGCGGGAGCACAGAGTCCCCGCCCTCGCTGCCGCCAGCAGCAACGCAAGGTGGAGCTTGTTATGCTCCTCCACTAGTCACCAGCGTTTCTGTGTGATCAGCCTTCCCGCCCCACCCCACCGGCGCTCTCCACCCCACCTGGGCTAGCTCTTTTCTCTATTGCCACGATCCCCTTCTCTTCCCTATTCATCTCCTTACAGCAGTCTGAGTATCCCCTCCAGAAGCCTTGCTGCCCACACAATCAAGTGAAAGGCCCTTTAGCTGTGTAGCAAGCAGGCCCGGGGGCCAGCGGCAGGGTGGGTGGCACAGGTTTCTTAGAGTGCTCAGCCTGTCCCATATTCTTTTGGTTTTTGTTTTGTTTTGTTTTTTGTTTTGTTTGTTTGTTTTCTGAGACAGGGTCTCTCTGTGTAGCCTCGGCTGTCCTGGACTCAGTTTGTAGACCAGGCTGGCCTTAAACTCACAAAAGATCCACCTGCCTCTGCCTCTGCCTCTGGGATTAAAGGAGTGGGCCACCACACCCAGCCGTGATGCATATCCTTAATTGTAGCTCACAGACCATGTGACACTCAGCCCAGCGGCCATTTCTGCCTGACACAGACAGCTGGGCTTTCGACGTGGACTCCACAGAAGTACCCTAGCAGATCTGGGCAGCAGCTCCTTTTCAGAACCACCTTGACTCTGCAGCTGAGATTACAGGGCCCTGTATAGGACACTTCTGAAAAGGCACAATTTAAGCTGGAGGCTGGGGCTAGAGAGTTGGTCCACTGGTTAATAGTTGTTGCTGTTTTCCCAGTTCGCTCATTCATCCGTTCATGTCAGGTGGCTTCCAACCGCCTGGAACTCCAGCACTCGAGCGTCTCATGCCCTCTCCTGGCCTCCACAGGCATCTGTATACATGTGACATACACTCACACAGACATAAAACATTACATAAAGACTGAAAATAATAACCCCCAACTCTTAACCTTCAGAACCCTAACCAAACCATAGAATAGCCTGAGAATTCCTGGTACAGATTTAGAACTCCTTATCTAGGGTGTTTAGGACCAGATGTGTTTCAAATGTCAGAGGTTTTTGTTTTGTTTTGTTTTGTTTTGTTTTTTAATTCCAGAATCTTTGCATAAACTTTACCCTAATCGGAATGTCTGAAATGCACCCAAATCCAAGCATTGGTAGTATGGGATCCGAGTGTAAAGGTTTCAGATTCTGGCTTTTCGTGTTACAGCAGCACAGAGCTGCGCTCGCAGGTGAAAGAACAGGCCTCCTGGAGACAACAGCGAGAAAGGTCAAGCCAGCCCTTCCGTTGGCCTTACTGAGCACTGGCAGCCCTGTCATGCCCTGAGACCTGCGCGCCAACCACCTGATTGTCCTTTGGAGCTAAATTTCAGGAGGGCTCTGCCCACCAAGCGGCATGCGGCCGAAGTGCTACCTGAGGCTGAGGCTCCCGTCCACCTGACCAGCCTCTCAGCCCGATGTGTGCGGCAGGACGCCATCCTCTGTTTTTACCAAACACACAATTAAAAAGTCACACTGTTAAGGTTCTCTGCAGCATGAACATATGGGCTTCGCCACGGCTTGAAGTTTTTCAGCACGAGAGTGGTGGGGATCACAGCTCTCCAGAGTGTCAGAGTGAAGAGTAGAGACAAAAATGCTAACTCCCCACCAAAAGAGCAGCCTCGGCGACGGCTTGGAGATCCTGGAGCTGAGAGCCCTGTTTCTCTCAGCCTGGAAACACGCAATCCCAGGCTTGGAAAATGGCATTTTGCTGCGTGTTGGCAAGAAATCCTGCAGCTGAGGCTCTTCTCTCCAAATGTCGAGCGTCTTTATTTATCCAAATCTCTCCACAGTGTTTGTTTAAAGGGGTGCTGGAGAGTAAGCGCACCCTTCCAGTGAGCATATGGATGGCTATAATTGCTGAAGTTTGGTTTTTTTCCTTCCGTATTTGCTAACTAGCTATATATAAAATTCTGTTTCTATTTTATAGGTTTCACACCCCAAAGGCTGCTAATTTTTGCGTGCATATGATTTTCACATGAATGGATGAAAATACAAAAATACTCTTTCCCCTGGGATGGTCTAATTGCCCCAGCCCTGCTCTTCGAAGCAGCTTCTAGGTGGGCTCAGGAGAAATTCCTCCCATCTTCTCTGACTCCCACCTTCCCTAGAAGCCTCCCAGGCCTCCATCCACTCAGGAGTTGGCCCAGTTCACTTCTAAACCTCATGGATGCTGCAACTTGCCACAGAAAGGTCGATATCTGCTGCCTGGCGTTTCTCATGTTGACTAGTTTTGCAACCCTTCTCTGAGAATCTGAAAGGATGGAAATGGCACCTGCCTCCGAATTAGCAGATGGAGGGGAACACGAATTGCAACAATCAGAGCTTTACATTTACTTTTTTTTAATGATTGTGCATGTGTGTGTGTGTGCGCATGTTTGTATGTGTGTGGGTACACATGGCATAGAGTGAGTGTGGAATCTAGAGAATCTCTTTCAGGGTTCAAACTCAGAATGCCAGGCTTGCATGACAATCCCCTTTAATCACTGAGCCAACTTGTCTACCCCAGAAAGGAGATATTAATGTACAACTAATTAGATAAAACAAATGTTTTTGGTGTGGCTTTTGGTTTCGACTTGCCTTCTTACCAAACCGCTAGCACTTGTCCCCTCGATCACGTCCCCAGGTAAAGGAATGAAGGAGCAAGCAAATAGTCTAAACTTTGGCCCACCTCATCCCTTTCCCCACACACCTGGTGGAAATAAATCCCGAGGAAAGGAACATCTTCCTAAGGTCACGCAGGAAAGTCGAGGCGGTGCTGGGACGTCCCAAACACCCGGAACATACCCATGCCAGCGTGTGCTGTAGGACCTCCTTTCTGCTCCTCTCCATAGGATGCCAGCGGTTCTGGCGGTAGAAGAGAGAGCCCTAGAGTTTCAGGAGAGCCAGGCACAGGCAGTCAAAGCACTGTTGCTGTCTGCAAGATGGATGCTTCTAGGTTCTTATAGGCACCCCATGGTTCCACAGGAGGAGGAAGGAAATGGTGCTGACAGGAACAGTCACAGCCAGAAAGAGGAGGCTCTGGAGCAGAGAGGAACAGTCGTCCCTGAGAGACAGAGCGCACCCAATGGTAGAGGGCCATAGGTTGTCTGTGCATGTGGGGAGCTAACTTCTTGCTGTGGAGCGAAGGGCTCAGCTCCTCCAGTCAATGTATGTGGAGACTGTGAATGGTGAGCAGCCAAAGCAGGCAGGAAGACACGGGTCTTCTCCTGGCCTAGTCTAGACAGGCTGCCAGTGCTCATGAGCCCCACTGGGGACTGAGTTGGGCAATAAAGGAGCTGGCACAGCGGAATCCTTCACTCAGAAGGCGAATGTGCTGGGCTGGGTGTATGGTACCTGCTGCTCACTGTGGATCAGAATTTCACAGGCTGGGTTCCAGACTGGTAGCTGTTGCTAAGCGCCGCCTCAGTGACAACAGGCCCAACCTAGGACAAGCAGATATAAGAAACATCTGTTGTTAACGATACAAAGGACAAAAAGTGTTTGGGGAAGCAGTAGAGGCTGCAGTGATGGCTCAGTGGTTAAGCGCACTTATGGCTCCCACAGAGGACCTAGGTTCGGTTCCCAGTACCCTCTTTAGGCTCCTTACACTACCTAACCCCAGCTCCAGGGATCTGATGCCCTCCCCTGGACTCTGAGGCCACTGCATGCACATAAATAAAACAAAACAAAAACACATGAATCTTTGGGGCTGGAGAGATGGCTCAATAGTTAAGAGCACCGCTCTTCAGGAGAAGCCTGGCTCAATTCCCAGTACCCATATGGCAGCTTAAAACTGTAACCCCAGTTCTAGGGAATATAACACCCTCACACAGATATACATGCAAGAAAAACAAACAAACAAAACAATGCACATAAAATAAAAATAAATAGAAACGGAGGAGGAGAAGAAAGACAGTAGATCCTGAACTATGGAGGTAGGAAAAGAATGAGTCAGGGGAACAATTGTGGGCCGACACCTGAGGCAGAGAGAAGAGCAGTGCAAAGGTCCCAGAAGAGGGCTTAGGATGGAACAGAGGAAGAGGGGATCTTATGAGAACAGGGTTGTAAGGAGGCTTGGCAGACCATTGGCAGACCATTGCCGGGTTGACTCCAGTTTTTGTGGGAAAGCCATCACAGGGTCTGAACGACAGTGAAAGCCTGTGACTGTGGCTGGCTATTTTAATCATCAGTTTGCTTCCAGCTGCCTGTGTCTACATGGGATCTGCATCTAACAGACCTCAGAGGTGGTTACTCCTTATGCTGGTCCTGAAGATCCCCTTGAGTCCTCCTAGGGGAAACATACCAGACACTTATCCTGAAACCAGGTGGCACCACGGACACCTTGTCACAGAGGTCCCAGCAATCAGTGTACCCTTTTCTTCCTGCAGAATTCCAGCTTCCTGTGACTGAACCTGACATCAACAACAGGCTGGAGTCCCTGTGCCTCAGTATGACGGAGCATGCTCTGGGAGGTCAGTGAGCCCTTTTACACACACCTGGGGCAGCTTGGGGGGATGGGAGAGAATTAAGGAGGTCTGACAGGACAGGAGGCAAGCAGCCTTGGGGTGCCAGGAGGCCGGCCAGAGAGACCAACACCATCCCCCAGGCCTGGGAGCTGCACCCCTCAGTACACACTGGAACCCCACAGCGGTGGTCCCAGCCAAATGCAAGAACTGGAGACATCAGACACACATAAAACATGGCTTCCAAGGGGAGCATCCCCGAGGCATTGGATAAGTTCCCTCTCGGCACTGGATCTATCAGCCTGGGCCAAGCATATCCCAACATGCTCTAAAAATAGAATTTTTGAAACAAAGATCCCTGCTTGTTTTTCAATCTCCCTGTCGCACATGGTCTGTGTGACGCTGGAGCCCCGAGCTGTCTGAGTTGCCTTTTGCCATGTGGCAGGTACGGGTTGGGTACGTCCATGTGCCCAAACTGGAGTCAGAGTCATGTCCCTGAGTCAGATGCCCCTACTCTCATCAGTCTGGCCTGCAGTCCCTGCTATGCCTGTCCGGGGAACTTCAGTGCCCTCCTGGACCACACTCAGGGGTCTCTTTTCAGACTTGCACATTTGTGGAGAATTGGCAGGGGCAGAAGAGTCGAGATGTCTTCCCTCCCGGCCACCCCTTCCTGTCCTCCCCTTCCTCTCCTCCCCTTCCTCCTGATAGAGGGGACTATCATGAGGCTGCTGTGAGCCTTTCCAACAGCCCTCCTCTGTCTGAATGTGCCCCTCTGCCTGGCAGATGGACCACCTGAGATCTGAGCCATTGCCACACCTAGGGACCAAGCTGAGCGTCCTCAGGCAGCAGCGAATGGAGATGCTGATGTCAGCTACTGCTCCTGAAAGCCTTGTCCCCAGGACCCTTCATTTCTGGTGTCTATGTGTTTAATCTCTGTATGCTAAGGACTGTTTGAAATGCAGCCTTATCGGAAACCGGAACAGGAAATAAATGGTCTGCGTGGGACAGAAAGGACTGTCACTCCCCCCAGCTAATTACCTGTCAGGGGGCAGCTCAAGGGCCCTGGGGTTATCATGACTCTACAGGGCTTCAGACCAAACAGAGAAGATCCGGGAAGCCATTTGCAAACCGAGGCTCCATCTCTCTGGTCACACTGGTGCTGGATGCCTCACTGCATCTCTGGAGCTGTCCCCAGCTCCTCCTGTTTGCCGTGTCAGCAGCCCCTTGATAAATAATGGGAGACCACCCAAATAAGGATCATCAAACTGTGGTGTAGCCATCCAGTGGCAGAGGTGCCCATAAACACAGCATGGAGGAACTTGAAAGCATCCCTGGTAGGAGCTCGACAGCCCAGGGTGCTGCTGCCCTCAGCCACCAGGCTACCAGGGAGCCTGTGCCTGCCACTGCCTGTGAGAGTCAGCAAGGAGAGCTGGCCTTCCCCTGCAGGCCTGAGAGACCTCAGATAGCTGGCCTTTTGGAAGCTCTTATCAGACAGTTAAGTACTGCCATTATTGCCATTAGTAGAGAAAATGCCAGATAGTCTTTGTTCAGGGGAAGTTTTCATTGAGCAGACTTTTTTTAAAGCTGGGTCTTCTGTTTTCACAGAGTACCTCTTGAACTCATGGGTTTTCACCTTGTTAATCTCCTAAGCCTTTTTTATTGCTGTGGTTGGTTGGTTTGTTTTGTTTCTGCATTGCACCTCCTAAGCAGTTTCAGGGACAGAGAATGGAACAAGTTGAGGGTGGCTTGGCCCAGCCCAGCACAGGAGCACTGTGGCCTCAAGCTGTGGCAGTGTCTCTGTGGGCCCAGCCCTTTCCATGTGCCAGGGAAGATAACCTTGTTAGGACATCATGCCAACAAATTAAGTCATTTTATAGCAAAATGAACCATGAGAGGGAAGCATAGTAGCAGTTTCTCTAGGGCAGAGGAAACAGATCAAAGCACAAAGTGCTTGTCACACGAGAATATGGACCTCAGTTTAGATGCTCAGAATCCACACAAAAAGCCACGTATGGTAGCATGTGCCTGTGACCCCAGTGCTAGGGAAGTGGAGACAGGCAGACCTCTGGAGTTATCCGAGTAGCCAGTCTAGCCGAATAAGTGACCTCCAGGCTCAGTAGAGACTGTCTTAAAAACATAAGACAGAGAATAACTAAGGAAAACACCTGACGCTGACCTCTCTCTGCACACACACGGACACATGCACCTGTGTACATATGCGCGCGCGCACACACACGCACACACACACACACAAATAAAAAGTATGCAAGGGCAGGAAGAACGGAAAAGAGTAGTTTTTCGATGCTGCGACTCAGGGGTGTCAGGGAGGGGCTGTCACCAAGTCATCTGTTTCCCAGATGACCATCCACTGTGGCCACCACAGTGCCAACTTTTTAGGTGCTTCTGATGTCTCTGCTCTTCTGTTTCCTTGGCAACTGCTTCCCTCCTGGTGCTTGTCTAAACCCCCTTTCTCTTAGCCTTCCTTTCCCATCTTTTCCTTCCCTGAGGCCCCTGCAACAAAACCCAAAAGGATACCCAGGTGGGAAGATTGTGAATCTTTCATCGGGCCTTCTGTGTTTTGTCCATGGTGTGTGGCCTGAGGTGTTCAGGAAAGATGAGCCCCCAAGCCTCTTACCGGGTTCTGGGAGCTACAGAAGAAAGCCCCACTGTCAGAGTCTGAGTGCACAGCCCTTTCTCAGGGGCTCACACTCCTCTTCCCGCTCCCCTTCTCAACTCACCCATTCCCTAAGCCTTACCAGCCCCACTGTCACAGATGCAGAGACTCTATGCAAATTATTTTCTCAAGGCACTAGGATGGTTCTTACTGCAGTGCTAACTATAAAACCTATGGTACCTGCTTGTGTGTGGCGCCCCCTGAAGTTGTCGCAGGCAGCTTTCACAGCTGAAAATAGAAGTCTGGCTTTCCTTGCAAAACATAGCACATGGCTGAGATGCAATGTTAATATGCCTTGGAGCTGAGCTTGTTGAGATTTTTACACTCCTAGCTCCTCCCTTTCACAACTGTGAAGGTTTAGCATTAATGTGTGGGCCAGAGAGCCAAGCAAGAGTGTAACCTACTTCTGGAGATGTCTACAGACATCCCCATCACAGAGGGACCCATACACACACTCCCGTTCCCGAGACTGTTGTTTACACCACAGAAAGTCAGTTATTGACTAGTTCATGCCTAGGCTAGCTGATGCTCTAACACCCCAAACTGGCAGGACCACTGTTACCTTCTTAAAAATCTCTCCCTACGTTGCCATTCTTCCATGTACACGGAGGGAGTGGAGAGAAGTGGGGGGGGGGGGGAGGGAGAGAAGAGAGAGAGAGATCAGATAAAATTTGGGAAATCTAAATAAGATCAATGGCTTGGGTCAAAGTCAGTTTCTTCACTGTAATATCCTGTCACACCTTTGCAATTGTCACCATTATAGGACCTGACAAAGGTACCCATATGATCTTGCTACATTTCTTAAAAATGCATGTGAACCTATAATTATCTCAATAAAAATTTCAATTAAAAAATATCTCCTCCAGTTCCAGCTGGCAGAATTGCCCGTTGCCTGCACGGAGGCCAGGGCACCCTGCAGTGGGCTCGCTGCCTTTCCATGCCTCCTAGGTCCCAGCTTTCCTGGGATGCTCGCACACTTCTATCTTGCCCCTGAGTCTTGCAGGGTAACTAGAGATGCTCCCTCCCCCAGGCCTAGCTGGCCATGGTGGGAACTGGGCTGGCCACACTGGCTAGCCTCTCTAGAGCTTGGCAAAGCCGAGGTGCTCTGCAGCCAGCTCTCCCTTGCCCTCATCCAGAAGTCGCTGGATGTCATCTTTTCTACTCTCTGATAATCAATCCATGCCCCTCTGCCTGCAGCATGAAGCCCGGTCAGCTCCAACATGCACCAGCGCGGATGCCTCTTCCCTGCCTCTCCGCCTCACCCTTGCCCTTCATCTTACCCATCTGACAATGTGACAGGAGCCAATCTGAAGTGATAGCATTGTTCTGCTATGGTTGGTTCCTCCAGTACCCATCCGAGGTCCTCTGATGGTCAGGTGTGCTGCTGGGGGCTGTGCTAGAACCCTTGTGAAAACAGGTAGCAGAGGAGAGCCAGGCATCTGTCGGCAGCTCTGGCTCACTCATAGCCTCTAGTCTCTGAAGGACATGTCCCTCCCACAGACACACCCTTTCATCCTGACCAATTCTCTGATTCAGTCAAGGAGGCAGGGGTAATTAACCTTCCACCATCCCAAACTTTCAGCAGCAGATACCCACAGCATCTGCCTTTGCTTTTCCTGTCCTTCCTTTTGTTCTTAAAGCAGAGACTTTGATCAGCTATCTATTCCCCTGGCTGCCCAGTGTGGGCAGGAAGAGGTCTTTGGCCTTTCACCAAGGATTTGCAGTAAGAGAGACATAATTCCAAAGAAATGGGTGTGAGCACCACAGTTGAATTTACATTTCTTATGAAAGCCCTTCTCTGTCTCTCCACGCATCCTACACCCTAGGCTCTACCACCAGCCCCTGCATTTGATAACAATTCATCATTCCACTTCTCTTGTCCCCTAGTCTCTTCCCATCATCCTCTCCTGAATCCTTCTTACTTAGCACACTCCTACCGGCACCACTGACAAATCATTCTGTGTCTATGAAACCATTCTTGACTTCCAACGCTGACTTACACGTTCATCCGTTCATGTTCCTTCTTTCTGGGAACACTCCTGGTAGAGCCGCCGTCACTCTGGACATCGCTGTTGATATATGTGTCTGTAGTGTAAAATCTAAAATGTGGTTACTTGGGAGATAAGGACAGTTACATCTTCGCTGCCAGGTTTAATACGGTTCCTGTTAAAAACAAACAAACGAAAAGAGCAGCTACTCTCGAGACGTTAGATGGGTGATAATGTCAGTGAGTGAGTGGATGGGTAGGTGAGCGAGTGGAGTGGGTGGGTGGATGGGTAAATGGGTGGATGAGTGAGTGGACAGGTAGGCAGGCAAGGGAGCCAGTGAATGTGTGGATGAAGCCTTCACTTCAGAGACCAGGATGCTCAAGGTACTGGCATTGCTGGAGAGCTAACCTGCACTGGTTTCGTTCATCTCGTCTTTTGTGGCTTCCCTTCACAGACGGGGTTGACCGGACCTCCACAATCTAGAAACTGAAGAGGAGAGTGACCGCGCTGGCCGTGAAATCGACTGCTGCGGGCCCGGTGTCAGCCATCTTCAGGGTTGCATAGATCTTCCAAGACACTTTGCAGCCTCTTTCCCCTGGTCCCTCACCCATTTTGATTTTGTGAGAGCGTAGGTCATCCTTGCAAACATATCAGTAGACCTGGGGTTGGTTATGTTGTCATTTGTTTCTGTCATGGGATGGGACGGTATGCAGGGTGGGGAGGGGGATCTTGGGGCGATGTGGGGCTGGGAGGGGGTGGAGGGCTGCTAGTGGCTTCCTGGGTGGAAATGGAGTGGGGAAGAGTATGGCTAGAAGAGATGTGCAAAAGACACACAGGAGGGACATAGAGCCCTGCCCTGGGGAGCCTTCTGGAAAGCCTGGCTTCACGGAGGACATAGCAACCAGAGCAAGATGGTGGCTGGCCTGTTTGTGTCTCCCCTGGCTGGATTTCCCTGAGGCCCCGCTTGAAACAGCCACAAGAGAGGGCTATATGGCAACAAGGGCAAGAGGAAGAAATTCCCTCCAGCAAACTTTCAGATAAACTTTGATTTGTGTATTGTTTACATAAGAATTTTAAAGGGTACATAATGTGTAGGGTTTGGATAGAACTTCTCTTCATACTATGGTTTTTGTAAAAGACTTATTGTTATGGATTCATTTTGTCTCATCTATTTTTATAACAGTAGCAGGGTTGTCTTTTAAAATGGCTGCCAAGCTCTGCTTCTCGGGAAGATGGATGCAGCCAAATAGGCCTCAAGTTGCCATCTTCCCCCATGAGGTGGGTGGATTTGAAGGGTGAGGATGTGGCTGAGATGAACACAGCACTCGGCAGGGACACAGAGATGATGGCGCCGAGTGATCAGTTATGGATGTGCTCATAGGTCACCCAAAGATGACAAATTGTGCAACCTCTCTCTGGGCTGGATTTGCATCCCACACAAGGCCTGTCTTGCTTCCCATGCTCCCCACAGGCTCCATCCTACCAACCCTGGTCTTACTCCACACACATACATGTAGGTACAAGGTCTTCTAGAGAAGGAAAGACATGAGTAGACGTTTTTCCTTTGCATGAGGCCTGACACTCAGATCATCTGCCAAAAGATTTTGCAAGAGCCCAGGCCTGGGAAATGTATCCGCTGTCACTCAGTCTTTGCTGAAGAAGAAGGCCGAGCAGTAGTGTCGCAGAGAGCATGCAGAGAAGCAGTAGATCTTGGTGGTCTGGTTCCACCATGCAAGGGGGCGACGCAAGCAGAAGCAGGAAAGGTTAAACTCATGAGCCAAATGGTGGCTCTTTCCACACATGGGAGTCAGAGGTTTGCTATGTGGTGGGATGATTTATCCAGCCATGCATGGGGAAGAGAAAATACACTCACATGCGTGTTACACGGTGTGAGCTTAACTGTGACATCACAGGGCACTATACCCGCTTCTCCAGGGTGACAGAGAAGAATGTGATGCAGTGGAGGATATTAGAGGGAAACAAAAAAGGAACTGTGTGCTGCCCTGGAAAATTAGTTGTGCAAATGAGATGGTCTGATGCTTAGCCAGAGGCATGATCTGGGAGATAATGTAAGGCCTATTTATTAAATGGGTGAGACTGGTGTCTCTTAAAAACAAAACAAACAAAGAACGTGAACTCTAGACCATGCCATGCCAATGATTCTACCTTGCCTATGGTTGTTATTTCCAGGTTAATGAAGTGCAAAGGCCTTAATAAAAATCTACACAACTTTGCCTGTCAAGATTACAAATGCACACCTAGCCCAGCCTTGGACGCTGCAACAGAGATTTTGAAGTCCTTTTACAGACTAAAAGGCTAAGGGCACCTGAAGCAGACAGATGGAGCTTTTAGCAAGCACAGAGGGCTTGGATTGCACTGGGCCGCTCATCACAACAGATTCAGGCCACTTCTCGGGTGACCAGGTCCAGGAGATGCAAATTCATGTACAGAAAGAGGCAGCATGTTTAGTTACTAAAAGTTGTTTGTTTGTTTGTTTGTTGTTTGTTTTAACCAAGTGCCATTAACATTCATCCCTCATGTCCCTTTTCCAAACAAGCTCAATGTTGGGGAAGGAGCTGGGATGAAGGATCACACGTGAGGCAGGAGAGGTTAAAATGTCGAAGGCCAAGGTAAGGCCAGAGGGTCTGAGGATGTGTTTGGAGGACGCTGAGGAGGTTAGCAGAGAGGAGCAACGGGATTCCTCTGGAAGGAGAAGGGATTCGAGTCTGCTACACAATACGCGCCGCGTGTCCTTAAGGACACGGGGTACTCAGAAACGGGAATGTGAACACAATCACACGCGCATGAATCTTTTAAGAGAAAGAAGACCACAGAGTATATTTGCAAATCTGAATTTCTATTTATTCCTTCGTTGACTAGAGAAGCAATGGTTATCTGATTATTAGAGATATTATTTTGGATATGTTACTTATTAACTCGCTATGGCTGGTGACCATGATAGAGTCTGTTATTAGTAACAACATAATTCTTTTTTTAAAGAAAAAAAAAGAAAAGCTTATTTTTCATTGACTGTATAGATTTACCTACTTAGTTGTGGTTTGCTATGTTAGTGTTTTCTTTTTTTTTTTTTTTTTTTCTTTAAGTTGCATTCTTATGATTTTTAAGAGCCTTTCCCCACCTTGTTTGGAGTCCTGTGTTGACTGCAGGTAAACAGCTCAATTTAAAAATCCTAAAGCAAAGAAACTTTATTTATAAAAAAGAACCAAACAGTTGCATGCCAGAGGCTGTGAGGCCACACCTTTAGGAACAAGCTGCAGTGCCTTTTTTTTGTATTTACCTGTTGACCACCCCCACCCCACGCAGCTGTTTTCTATTAAATAGAAAAGGTTGGAAACTTTGAGAGTAAAATCTATTTCCCCGCGTAGGTGACCCCTCGCTCCGATTTAAGCAGCGTGTCTTCTGGACTGTCTGAGGCGCAGCGCTGGTCTACAATATCGTGGGTGACGTTTTATTGGTGCTTTTTACTCATAGCGTTTTCTTACGAGGAAACAGTAGGAAGAAACACACAAACTGTGTACGAGACACAATACGTTGCTGCTGCTGGTTTGTTTTTGTTGTTTGTCCCCCATCCCCCACCACACACATATGCTTTTGAGTTTGACTTGTTTAAAACACAAATCCAGCAAGCAAAGCAGATGCCACTGGGTCTGCCTGCCAAGGGCTGCTGTTTGCACCAAGCTCTCATCCTGGGTTGAACTGAAGGCATCTTTCTGGTACCCAGGAGGAGAGGTACAGCTGGGCCCCACCTCCCATTCTTCTGAGGCGACACTGAAGGAAACCAGAGTTTCTTTTGAGGTGTCGCTGGCTGCCTTTTACAGAATGGGAGTCTCCTCCGGGTCTTTCCTTCTTCTGTGCCTCTTGTAGCCAGTGCTGGTGAAAGGTTTGTAGATCTGTGTACCCCAGAGCCTGGGATGAGGGCTGAGCTAGGGAGAGGAGAAAGCGGGTTCTGTGAGGGGCCTTTCCTCTCTACCCTGAGTGGGGAAGCACCTGCCTGGGGTGCTCAGGTGTGCCTATCACAAACAGAACCTAAAGAAGGATACGTGCTCACGGGGCTCCGATAACACTAGTGTTCAGTTTGTTTTTCTGTTTGTTTTCTGTTTCTTTTTTTCTTTTTCCTTTTCTTTTTTACAACTCATCAGAGCTGTTTGCAAAGTGACTTTTTTTTTAATCCTTTATCTTGACTTAAAGGTGAATGTGATCCCTCTGGGAGGAGCAAGAAGAAAGCAGGAATGTTAGCAATGGTGAACGAAGACTTCCTCCCTTATTAATAGATAGCCCTCACGTATTTATGCCTAACATAAGCTGACTTTCAAAGAGCTTTCTTTCGTTGCATGCCCTGTGCAAGCATCTGTACTGTACATGCATGCCTTTTGTCCTGTTTTCTTGTATAAAGTTAGTGAACAAAGAAATATTTTTGCCTAGTTCATGTTGCCAAGCAATGCATATTTTTTAAATTTGTCATACATGGAAAGAGCATGTTTGTTACATGTAAAAGCTCTACTGATGCAGATACACTAATGTTTGAACATGCTGTTCTTTGCAAGTGTACAGTTTTCAAATGTTGTTATCAGTGACAGCACCCTTGTGGTCTAAACTTGCTACAATGTATTTATTATTCATTTCCTCCCACAGAATTAAGAATCATGGCTATATTTCATATGGTTATATTGAGAGTGAAGGGAAATGATTAATACAAGGTTTTGTAACACTGCTGTGTGCGCATGTGTATTTTTACCCCCTCTTTTTGTAAACACAATTAATTATTTAAAAACAAAACCTCAAGTCTTAGAAATCAGCCCTCAGTGAAGAACCGGCCTGACCTCACTGGCTAACTCTGCTCAGCTGACCACACCACGTGATGCCCATCATTAGCCACAGGCTCCTCTCAGGCACAGGTTGGAGAAAGAATTGGCAAAAGGTGTGCAGTGTGCTCTGCCCAGAATATCCACCGAGTGCTCTGCCCCGGGTACATGCAAACTACTGTGTGGTCAACAGCTTCTTCCCACTCTTGATTGCCTTTGACACACTTTGCACTTTATCATGGCTTAAAGAAACTGCCTCCCTGGAGGCTTGGGACTTCACCTACCCGTGTTTTAAACCCCATTCTATCCCTTCTAACTCCGCTGTAATGACATATGGTCTGTGATAAACCAAGCATTGTTTTGGTTAGAGTACGACTGGAGAAGCAGACTTGAGATTGAGATCTGGCCTCAGCATTTTCATAAAGAAATGTAACTCCACTTATTAAAAAGAAATTGGGCCACATAGTGGTGGTGCATGCCTTTAATCCCAGCACTCAGGAGGCAGATCTATGATATGGAGGCCACCTTGATCTACAGAGTGAGTTCCAGGACAGCCAGGGCTACACAGAGAAACCCTGTTCCAAAAGGAAAAAAGAAAAAAGAAAGAAAGAAACTGGGTCAGTGAGATGGCTCAATGTATAAAGGAATTTACACCAAATCTGACAACCTGAGTTTTACCTGGGGGAAGGATATGGCAGAAGAGAAGCTATTCTGCAAGTTGCCTTCCAAACACACACACACACACTGCTGAGAGTGGTGAATCACACCTTTAATACCAGCACTCAAGAGGCAGAAGCAGATGGCTCTCTGGCCTTCGAGATCAGCCTGGTCTACATAGTG